TGTTGAGGGAAAATCAGGAATAAAAATAAAAATTTAAGTATCTTTTCTTTGAGGTTAAAAAATGTTTTGAGTCTTGGCATTTTTAGCCAGTCGGTCAGGAGAGGTCAAACAAACATTTTTTTAAAGATATCAATTATAATTCATTGATATTTAAATTAATTTATAATTGATTTTAATTATATTTTTTATTTTTATTCTTTCATTATTATCACAGTAGGAAGATGAAATAATGAATGAGAATTTAGAAAGGAATGATTATTGAATAATTCTATTTAATATCATATCTGAATTTTTTTTAGTTTCTTCATTATGTACACTTTTTTTAATATCAATACTTTGTCTTAGACTAGTTTTCTCAATCAAAATGGCATAATACGTACAGCGGGACTCCCTCTAATAATCCGGAATTAAAATTTTTTTTTTTTAAAAATTGGGCGTGGTATACTGTATACTATGAAACCCGTCAATGGTGGCCGATTTCCTCCGATATTTTCGATAAAATTGGCTCTATAAAACCTTGGCGGTAAGGATTGAACTCAAAACATCTATGTTATAAGCTATTGGTAATCCTATTAATTGAAATCCACAGCCATTGTATGTTTTTATCAGTCATTTAATCATATTCAACTGACATTTCACCAAAAACCGATCATTTCACATTTCATGTCACCCTCGTGGAATTTTTTTCCCGAAAGGTGGCGCTTGTTGCAAACATTTATTCAGTTGGACATCTTACTATTTGTTTCATCGAAGTGAAAAAATAATAATATTCCTTCTATTTCTATAAAAAACAACCATCTTGTTCCTACTGTTAGTGATGTTTTATAAAATAAAATTATTGTATATTTTTCTCAGATATTCCTACAAGCAATTTCGTCTTACAAGGCCTAATAATTTATAGTACGAGCTATTGTGATGCAAATAGATCTTCCTCCGCGTAGCGCACATTTTTTGTTGTTGTTTTCTCTCTCTCTCTCTTTTGTTTGTTTCATTTTTGTTTTCTTTCTTGCTTTCAATGTATAAATTTCATATACCTCGGTATATGTGAGAGTTTATGTTATTTGATATTTAAATATAGACAATGAATATCACCAACTCGTCAATATACATTAGCACTATTTTCAATAGCATATTTAGAATCAATATTGTGGAGTCCTTTGTTGCCGCAGTAATCGAAGGAAAGAATTGGGGGTCGTCAGCAATGAGGCTACATCGCTGATAGCGATGCACCTCAAAAATTAAAATCTTAATATATTTAAATTGAAATTTTATGGACAATTCTTTAAGGTGTCTATCTAAAAATGCCTCTTTTCAAAACAATCTGATAAAAAAATTTTAATAATAAAAATAATTTAATTATAGTTGTAACGCCCATTTCTTTGGTTGAAAAATTAGTTTATACATGTATCATATAACCTGTGTTGATTACTTCACAATATGACCGATGTCAAAAACATATCAATCCACTTAACACTGCATTTAAATTTTGTAGAATTTGAAGTCATTTTTGAGGGAAATTGTTTTTCTTTTTACACTACATGCTACAAAAATTAAACTATAAGGAAAACTTAAGTAATTCTTGTATAACCTTGGTTGGAACAGTTTTACACTAGCTTTTTTTTTTTTTTTTAATAAACTGCTTTGCCAGTTATACAGTATAACTTGGATAGCTATTAAATTCATTCCTTAACAAAAATCAGGTTTGTCCCATCACATGAAGATTTATGTCTTAGAATTTTGTCACTTTGTCCCTGCTTTAAAGTTCTTAAATTTTGTTTATGTAAGCTGACTAATCATCACAAAACATTAACAAGTGACCAACAAAACAGAAATGATAAAGGAGACACATGAATACAGTCACTTAATGGGGATAGTACCTAAATAAAACAGATCTTAATCAGCCATGGACAAATCTAAAAACATTAACATCATAAGATTAAACGAGATGTAATATACAACATAAGTATTACCTGATCTTCAATTATTCCAGTCTCTTCATCCATTTCCCTGAAATATCAAATACAAAACAATACAAACTTTTGTTTCTACAATGAATATTTCCATAAAATCATTACAAAATACTTTTATTTTTAAATAGAAAACATTACATTCCATGAAACATTAGATATGCCTCTTAAATTTTCTTTTCAGATCTCATTTCCATTTTATTAATCACTTTAGAAAAATAAACAAAAGATGCTACAAACAAGACTTATGAATCAAAAACAGAAAACGAAGATCAGGTTTGTGTATTGAATAGAGCAAAATATAACTTCAGCAATATCCATTTTAAAAAGGAAATAGGTAACTTCAGAATGAAGGTTGCCCTCTTTGAGAGTAAGGGAAGAAGTCAGGAGTGCATTCATTATATACAACCAGAATAGAAAACTGAGTACTGATAAAGTTATTTCCCTTTATTCATAAAATTTTCCTTATTAAGTACCTACAGGTATAATGGGTAGCCCATTCATATAATTTTATAATTGAATTTAAAGATCTATAAAGACAGTAAATGTTTGATTACATAAAGCATGCTGGGATGGCCACATTCAGTCAGAGAATGGACTGAAGGGTTGGGTTTTGTTCATGCTATTATCTCACTGAGTATGAGACTTTCTCTCTGTATAAAGTCTCAGAAGGTAATTCCCAGCATGGTGTGGCTCAAATGTTGATGGAATAATACAGTACTGTCCTGGGGAGAGCTTGTGTCGTGTACAAACCTCCCGCATGTTGATAAAGCTATTAGACTTGGCGCACGAAGCATTGTACTTGAAAAAATCCAGAGGTAGTGGACCCTCCCCAGTTCCTTCAGGTATCTAGATGGATTTTTAGCTGATGTTTTATTAAAGTCGAAAGATAAATATTATTCATTGGCTACTATTAGCTGTCCTTCTATAACTATCTCTATATACCTGGGAGGCTATAACAGTCCCGACAACACCTGTATAATATTAGAAGTCAGACAACAAACTACTGTAAATTTACCTGTTAGCGAATTGTTGAAAAGAACACAATCAACACACATTAATTTCATAACACTGTTTCAATATTTCAGATAAATTTCTGCACCTTTTAAAAGAAATTTTTATATTCAATTTTCCAAATATGCTTTACTACAAAGAAGCTGGTGCTATACTGTACAGAAGCTGGTGCTAGACTGTACAGACACTGGTGCTATACTGTAAAGAAGCTGAAGATTATGATCTTTTCATCAATCCACTGTACCATCTATCAATGATACATACTAAAAATAGGACAACATTTCACTACAGCTAAGCAGGCAGAAGCCAGACATTAAGCTTAACACTAGACAGGCAGACAGAAGCCAGACATAAAAACTAACACTAGACAGACAAAAGCCAGACACTAAAAATAACACTACAAAGGCAAAATCCAGACACTAATTCAGCAGACAGATGGAAGCTGACACTAAGACTACACTTAACAGTAGTAGATGCTCACGCTGTGTGATTAGCCTTCTCTGTGAAGATTCTCAGCAAGTACTCTCCTTTGTTGTGAGGTTCAAATGTGGAGGGTATAATAACATATGTCCCTGGGGACATTTTATGTCGTCCACACACTTCTCGTAGATTTATAAAGGAAGGAGATTTAGCACAAGAGGCATGATATTTGAAGAATTTAAGATCAAGAGGGCCTTGATTTTCATCGTCCAACTACAAAAAAATTCAAACATGCTCATAAATCTGTATCAAAAATAAAGTTAATGAAATCTCTCGTGGGTTATCTCCCCATTGACTGAATACTGCAACCTTCCTGAAACATGTAAAAGAGTACATTTAAATGAAGTCAAACCTGTAACATTTATTAAATTAGCTATATATCATGGTAATTTTCAAACTTTACACACCAATGATTAATCGTGATTCTAAAGAAAGAATTACACCACTGTTGTGAAAATTCTGTCACTTACACTTGACACTAAATATTCCCCAGATCAACTCAATATGTACCTTATAAATGACATATCCTATGGTCAATACCTTATAAATAGGGATGGCAACGAATATTCGAACATTCGAATATTCATTCGATGAGTTGATATTCGAATATGAATTTAAGATTCGAATATTCGGTGTTTTTCAGATTTCATAAAAAGAAGTACTGTGATTAATGGATTTTGATTAGAACAGTGCTGGAATTATCCCTGTTTGAGTAAGATGTTAAAGAATTTTACAATAATGCTTTACATATAATACAAAACGCACTTTCATATTTTTGATACGATCGGATCTAGAATCGAGGACAACATAATGAAATCTTAGAATGTCTAAAGGGCGTGCAGTATAAATTAATTGATCATTGAATGAATGTCCGATAGAATTAGTCTGTTATTAATATTGTAAAGGGCCTAATTTCAGAATAAATGTGTGAATTACTTGATTATCTCGGGTTGTACATAATCCTGAATTTTATATTCATTATTGGGAAATTAGTTAATTACCTAGGAAAATTGTCTATGGAAATATTTGTTTACATTGTATCAAAGATTATAATCATATCTCTTATTAGGCAGATAATTGTAATTCATTACACGTATTGAAATCTGAACAGTATACCGTTACGACTATCTTGCCTTTTGCAAGATGACTGGTTCCTCAGTTGGAGCTACTATAAATACACCTTTCATTTGTTGAAATTATACTTTTCTACATTTAAATCAATTATTTATTTCAAACATTGACAAATATCCAATGGAATTTTTTATTTTAAACTTGCAAAAGTCTTCATACAATTTTACTTCCAATATAAGTATACCTACGCTAAACCTTTCATGATTTTAGGATGATGCATATTTGAAATAATACAGATTTTATTTATTTTATCGAATATTCCAATATATTGGAATACTTTCATTGAATATTCAAATATGAATTATTGAAAAAATTGACATCTCTACTTATAAATGACACATCCTATAGTCTGTAGTACAGTGCAGGAAACTAATTTTGTTACAGCATCGATGCTGATTTGAATGCTTCCTTTGCTTGCTGATTTGAATGCTTCCTTTGCTTGCTGATTTAATGCTAGTAATCCTTATCCTGATGCTGTTTTATAATTAGGTCAATGCTACCGAAAGCAGCATCATGCTATCGGAAGTAGATAATGAATTTCAGCATTGCCGTTTAAAGCAATAAAAGTGCCTTTTACAATTATTTGATCATAATATCTCACTATGTATCAATAATGTGAATATTTTAACCAATCTTCTTTCTTTCTTTTTTAATTTTTTACTGAATTAAAGCTCATTGATTTTCTGATGCTAGTAGGATAATGCTGGTTTTATGTAGGTCAATGCTGGTTTTATCCTATGCTTGCTGATGCTGATCCTGGTAATGCTGTTTTTTAAATGCTGATCCTGATGCTAGCTCGATCCTGATGCTACTAATGCTTATGCTGATGCTGGTTTATGTAACAAAATTATTTCCCTGCACTGTACCTTATAAATGACATATCCTATATGGTCAGTACCTTATAAATGACATATCCTATATGGTCAGTACCTTATAAATGACATATCCTATATGGTCAGTACTTAATAATTTTAAATGACATATCCTATATGGTCAGTACTTAATAATTATAAATGGCATATCCTATATGGTCAGTACCTTATAAAGACATCACATAGTCTGTACCTTATACATGACATATCCTATATGGTCAATACCTTATAAATGACATATCCTATTGTCAACATATCCAGTCCTTCTTTACGTTTCTTTCTCCTATCCTTCTGAAGGACACCCACCAGCATAGTACAAAGGTCATCGTCATCATCATCATCAGGGTCAGTCAAGGTCACACGATATTGGGGATTTGTCCAGAAAGTATCTGTACAAAATAAATACTTAAAGTAAAATAAAATAAAAGAGGAATCAAATAATAACAAGTATTTTAGTGAGGATGAGGACATATTTCAGTATTGAGGTACAGTGTATTACTAATTTGAGACATGTAAGAAATATCTCTAATACAACAGGCCTGGTCAACTGGCCCACAGTACCCACCTGAGACTCAATGACCTCCCTTTAATGACCTCAACAGTTAAAGTATAAAATCATATATATATATTGAATATTGCATACACACATTAATTGATGTTCTTTAGAAAAAAAAATTAACTTATTTCAATTGTGTCAAAGCTTGACTCTAGAGGGTAATGACTTATTTGGAACCTTCAATCAAGAGGATGTTTTTTTTAAATCAATTTGAACCAATTTCTTCCTTGCTGTTTTGTAGAAGAGCAATTTCAAGAATCTATGTAAATCTTTTAACCCCTATATGACATAATACAAAAGGGGTGTAAATATATGGTGGCCCAAGGTCCGAGACCTGAAGTTTATGGGACAGACTACCTATTTATCACCCTCCAATAGTCTGTCAGACCAGTTGTATTACACAGTTAAAAAAAAATAAAATTCAAAAGTATAAAAATAAAAAGAAAAATCTGAAAAATTTCTTCTTAGCTGTTTCAAAAATTGCAATTTGAGCACTAGTTTACAATAGAGTACAAGTCACATCACCATAACATTTGTTTGATATGAAATGAGTTTCAAGCATTAGTTTGATAGCATCAGATTGACAGCAGGAAACAAAAGGAGACAAATATTATTTCAGTATTTTTTTCTTTTGGCAATGGATTAGTGAATTATTGTTATGAACTAGTGAATTTCAACGCCTTAGTAGTCCTTGGACCAGTGAATGTTTAGGGCAAAACCTTAAAGAAATTTGATTCTGCATTAAATAAAAGAGCTGTTACTTAATTTTGTTCTTCTGGATCAGCAGTTCTTGATAAGAATGTTTTTTACATAATGTAGACATACTTTTTTCCATGCAGGATTAATATACACTACGTATGTGTTCAAATTCACCATGGAAATTTGTCACATACATGTACATACCGGATTAATATACACTATGTATGCGTTCAAATTCTCCATGGAAATTTGTCACATACATGTACATATGCCACACAAAGTTTGATAAAAAAATTTCACTTCAGGTTCAGAGGCTCACGATTCAAATAAAGCAAATGGGACAATGTGTTTGGATAAGAAGATTTCACTGTATATGGTTGTATTTTAGTTTTCTTTACAACAGAAAAGATTGCTCTTCAACAGGAAACTCCTGAGTTGCCATTAAGAAGACCTTCATTAAGATAGTCCAATCCTCATTATAGTTAATCATATTATATAGGGAAAATTATCAAACCTCAAATATATATCATGAAATGCAAATAAAAACACTAGCTTTGCATTTTCTAATTGAAAATTGATCAACAATTTTAGGATTAAAAAAATGTAAGTATCCAGGCATATGAAAAAATTACATCTTTTTTATGCTTATACAGTATTTTAGGTCTTCTATTTATCTTCTTTGTTATGTAATACACAGTGTAAAAAGGTTGTGCCATCATTGCTAGACATCATATATCACATCTAATTTCATATCATGCTAATAAGCATTGGTATCTAATGCTAAATGAAAGGAAATTCGATTACTCTAAAAATGAATTTATATTTCTTTCTTTTATGGGGTACAAATGTCAATTTTATACAAGATCATTTCTGAAACTTCAAAAAACCTAATCATATTGAGATGCATAAAATAAAAATTGTTGCATGAAAAGATCTCAAATTCAAGCTTCATTTTGAGACTTTTTAAATAAAATAATAAATCTAAGAGTTATCCTTCCTGGCTGAGGATCAGACATCCTTAAGTGGGTGGATTGTATCTTTTCATCAGTAAGCTTTCAAGTGAAAATCAAGATGCTCTCAGTCTTTATCTTTGCTCAGAAAAAAAGTTCAAATCTTAAGAATCTACAGCAGGACTTTACTGAGTTTCCTGTTGATGTTAAAATGCTTGCTTCCTTCTGATTACTTTAATTAACTCTCTGTTAAAAATTTAACTAAATTCACGACGAAGCTAACAACACACTAATGCACTAATAGAGTGGGGTTTTTTTTTGTACAGCCATTGGTCAGTATGACCTGATTCTGAACTTCTGCTTTCTACTGTTCTTTTTCTCATGATTTCACACTAACGACTAAATTTGACTGGTACAAACACCTTTCCTGAGCTTCACTAACCTAGATAATTTCTACATCCACCCGCATTCACTCTAGGGATCCACTCCCCATTTTCTGTGTGCCCCTCCCAGCGTTTTTTCCCATCCAATTCCTCCTCCTCTAATGAGTCTGGACCAAGATTACAGATCTCCAACTTCTCAAAATTTTTAGAAAAGTCATCGAAAGACATCCAGAATTCTCCATCATCATCAAATGTCAGGCCCATTTCTTCCTTCTGGGAATCTGGAATTAATGACCACTCCCTAGACCTGAGAATCAGAAAGATCTTCTCTAGAACTCATCATTATAAACTCAGGCACCTAAAGAAAGAATCTGTCATCTTGCTGTGTAAAGGAGTTTAGCCATCAGATTTTTCTTCCATTACTTTATATTTTGCACATAAACAGTTGTTTCATTTTTTTTTTTGGTTGTACACATCAGAACTGAATAGGGGACTTACCAGAACTGAATACCTGACACATCAGAACTGAATATCTGACACATCAGAACCAAATACGTGACTTACCAGAACTGAATACCTGACACAGCAGAACTGCATATGCGACACACCAGAACTGTATACCTGACACATCAGAACTGAATATGTGACACACCAGAAATGAATACCCACCCTCTGCTATTTCACTTACTGATCACTCCATCTGCCTTTCCACTCGGCTTCATTACCCCAAGGATTTCGGACTCGGACCATGGGGATCTTACCCGACATGTTAGGGGTCTCAATGTCCATCTAAAAATCATATATGGTTATCAATGAAATGATCATTTTCAGACCAGAAGTTTTTATGTAGTATATACCGTATAAGAGGTAATTTCTATGATTGGACATTTTTGCGATTTGATCTCTACACTGTAGCAAATTAATTTCTGCATTTTTAATTTCTGCGGTTGCATCATACCACAAAAAATTATCTACAGGAAATGACTACTGAATTTTAAATTTGGTAAAACATTGACATGACCGTGATCAGGGTGAACCAGAACTGATGAGAAGCTCTGCTGCTCTTCTGTTTTCAGTTATTTTTTGTGAATTGTTTTCAAATAAGTTATATCTAACCCTGGTTAGCATAAAAAGTGTTAACTTATCACATATACAATTATTAGTTCTTAATCTATGGGTTGATTCAGGCCAAAAACTACCCTCAAAGCAGTTGGGAATAAATGAAGAAATGTTACTATATTATCTCAATATTTTATGAATATTTTGCAATTTTTGTTTTTTGCAGATTTGTCCTTTTCACAAAATATCGCAAAAATTGGACAACTGCAGAAAATACCTGTTACACGATATAATAACAAGAACATCACACCTAAAAAAAACTTCCAGGATTCAACATTAAAAGTTGGGAAATCTACCTAATATCTATTTAAATTTTATTTTACAAGATTCAGCAAGCTCCTTAAATTATTAAGATGTGTGAATTTAAGGTTTATGTTTACCAGGAGGACAGATGTTATGCTGTAGGCATGTCCCATCACTAGTCCATTAGCCAGGCGAGCTTCTAACTGATTGGGATCAGCCTGTAACAAAAATAAGACATGTTTTATAAAAAATTGTAAGCATTTATTAAATGATAAAATTCACTACAGCCATAAGTTATAATTCTGTCAGGCATAGTATATGTACATATCCATGTACCAAATGCAAATCAAAATCTCTAATAAAATATTTCATTTAATATCAAAATTCTGGACCAGTTTTTATGTTTTTTGGTTTCCTTACATCAATAGAGCAGCCCATCAGAGAGCCTCGCTGACTGGCCTTTAACATGATACTGAACAGATTGGGTGGAGCTTTACGGAGATCAAAGAATTCAGATACACCCCCAGTAAAGTCCACCATAGCCTCACAGGTGCTGCCTCCCTTCAGTGATTCATAGGAGCCCTCCAATCTAAAAAATACAACTCAAAATTTACGTGCAAGTTCTCAAGATCAAAAAAATAATGAAACAGAACTGTCAAGAAATGAGATCAAATTATACTTCCTGCATACTGTAGAGATAACCTGATGAGTAAAGCAAACACTGCTGTATTCTTGAATCAATTTTATAATAATAATTGTTTTTAATTTTTAAGCAAACTTAAGAAAATTATTCTTTATTTTAAAAAAGAATAAATTCCAAAACTATGCAACAATACTGTTCATGTTCAGTTATTTTCCTTAATAAAAATTTACTGAGACTTTCCATCAAGATGATAATTAAGAAGCCATAGAAGGTCTGACGTACTTGGCATAAGCTTTCTCTAGCAGTGCACTCCAAAATTCATTCTTGTCCAAAGAGTGCATGAAGGTCAACTGCCCGTAGTAAGTTGGCAGACGGTCATCCACAACCACTTCAACCCATTCTCCCTGTCTCCAAAAGTGGAAACGGAACATTCCGCAGTACCCATCCTCAAAGGTCTGGTCCGGTGGAACCACCTTGGCAAAGAGACGCTGGTTTACGGTCAAGGAGGCAACAGCGGCCAACAGCCAGCAATCACCTGTAAATCAATGTTAAAGAAAATTAGATGCTGAATTTGGACAAAGGTGTTATTTTTAAAGAAAAGTGTTTGATATGAAACAGTACTCTTGGAGGTCACAAGTTCCTATACATTCCTATATTCTTTTTTGGCTTTTAACATTATGACCTGCTATAAAATCTTCTCATTGACATAATGCAAAGTCATTAATACAAACATTTCAATAATGTAGATAAAGGTTAAAGCTACAAACAGACAAACTGACAGATTGAAAAAATCATCACTCCATACAATCTGACTAGATTCTTAGTTACTGGGGTATGACAATGTATACCTTGTATCAGAAAATGAATAAACAGTGACACAAGTGAGGAAATCTCTTGTCACACACACTTCAGTTGATTATAAAGAGGGAATAAACAATGAGTAGGAGGGTGTATTTGGTACAGTTGAAGACACAGTGTAACAGTGCAATCTGTATCATCATGCAGCTGCATGAGTAAGCTACAGACAGTGTAAATTTGTTTCTTCTAGACATCAGTCCATTACTGTCATGTAAAATTCCAACTAATATATTTGTATTCGTGGGGGTAAAGTCTTAATATGTTATTCTGTTACCTTCATTTGTACTGATGCCGAGTTACTGAGAATTTTTAAAAACAAGTACATCAGAAAAAACTCAAGCAGCATACATTCTTATAATTTTCCCAGCAATGCAGTAAGTATGGAGACAATGAATTGCTTATTTTAAAACCTTACCTAGCTCTCCCTGCTGCACATCAAATCGACTAGCTCCATCCGAAATAAAGACAGGGTTATCACAAATCTCCTGCACAAAAATGGAAACACATAATACACACAATTTATATCTTATTTCGATTTTAATCTCATTTTAAAATCAGATGTCACATTCCTAAATAATATATAATTTTTCCCAAGAACTTGTGATTGAAGTATTGCTATTTGTTATTTCCCATTTTCTGTGAATACCACTTCTCGAGCTGCTATATAAGTTTTATATGATAACAGAGGGCTCTCGATTGTCTATAATTTTGAATGCTGAAGAACCCCCATTCCCAATGCAAAATAGATACCTTTTTCTGAAGCTGACCAATTGGCATTAGTAATAATAGAGTTGACAAAAAAACAGCAGAAAAGCAAAATGTGGTGAGTTTCTTGATTCTTTTTTTATATGTTGATTTTTCCAATACGTATTTATTAAACTCTGTGCTAACACTCTGGTGCAAAATACACAGAAAATATGTTACTATGTGTTTGAAGCATTCACATGTCACTGCTTCCTATTAATTCACACTGCCCCCCCCCCCCCCCCAATAATTTTGCTGATACATGTAGATTACTATGGAAAACATAGCTACTACATGCTTGTGCCCCCTCAATAAAAACATCTGATGACCTTTTTTTGGGCTTGTCAAGGAATTTTGGGTAGTTGATGGTTCCCCCCTGAAAATGTATGGCTGTGCCCCCCCCCAACTGAAATTGCCTCCTTCAGGCCTGTTGTGTGTGTGTAAGGGGGTGTGTGTTAGAAGAGCTGGTCTGTTGTGTTTTTATTATTATTAATCATTCAAATAAATTGAGGAGGATGAATTGCACATTCAGCACTTTTTTCAGTTAAGTCAAGTATGTGTACTCATGAAAATAATCTTAAATCTTCATAAATATCTTCTTTCCGACTTCTTAATGACTAACTGTACATATTTACATAATCCCTGAACACTTTTGTCTATTTTGTCTCTGCACAAAATTTAACATACAAAATCACAAAGAATCTACTAGATACAAACATACTTCTTCTAGATCAAACTTACAAAAGGCCAGAGTATTAGTTTCTGTTTTTAAATTTATCTGACACAGAATGTTTGTAGTATGTGTTGATTTCTGATTCGAGAGGTAATTAAGAGTAGCACAGCTGCTTACTCATCAAGCAGCCAAACATTTCTCCCCTGAGTTAATACAGGAATGTTTCCTAGCTGAAACTCCCCCAAAGAATTCAATGAATCCTTTGACTTGAAATTTCCCTGCATCCATCAGAGAGCATAAAACAAGCAGAAACAAAAAAACTTACTGTTTACTAAGAAATGATCTTAAAACCTGCATCATGTAACAATTTAAACAATTTAGGCAAATCTCATATTTTTTATTGAATGGTGAGGTGATTAGGTTCATAAAAGAGTAGGCAAATTTCCAACCTAAACATCAGTCAGTTTTTGATAAGAAATCAATTCATTTTGTTCTGTCAGCAAGTTTTAAATCCCACACTCCTACATAATTCTTGTGCACTGAAGCCTGCAACTCTCAAAAAACATTTGTATTTATCTTTAATTTCACCTAGTAAATAATAAATTCCAATGTTGAATTAGTAAAGTTTTTCTGTGGGAAATAATCCAATATTTACAGTATATGTACATTATTGTAAAGCAATAAAAAAAATGAAAAGGCCAGAGAAGTATGTATTATTTATACTACTTCAAAGAAATTTTCCTACATCATAAACATTCTTTTTACTGAAAATATTTATCTTTAAAACAAAGTGATAAAAATGCCTTGTAACCCAACAGGATCCCTCTCCCGAGTTTTGATGAGGCAGTACGTTTATCAGGATTGTAGCAGATATCATCATATTCATAATTTATTCATAATTTGGACATGACCTTGGTTAGTACAAACTGCACATAGATATGTGCAAAGAATGTTAACAGCATTCTATGAATCTCATGAAAAATATTGCTACATTGTATGAAAAATTGCTTTTATAATTCTGAAATCTTCAAGGCTGCCATTACTATAAACTATACAGACTTCTGACAATGCAAAGAAATCTATTATTGCCAAAGTATCATCAGAATTTTAATGCTGTCAACCCCTCCAAACCAAAGAGTGGTAGTCTTTATAATGGTCAGTGAATTTCATGTGCATGCTTTTTTTAATTCAACTTGGAGAGTTTTACAAGGGGAGGCAATCAATCATCTCCAAGAACAATTAAACATCAAGAGAATTGACATTGTATGATGATAATAGGGATTCCAAAACATTAGCACTGTGTATGCATTAAAGGTTATACAGATAATATCTTCAAGGTAAATAAAAAACAGATAAATGTATAGGCTGCTGGCAGATATCCTTTTCTACACACTTAGAGGGGTTTACTGGAACCTCTCACACATATAGACCTTCTATCAGCTGGTGTCTGGGTCTTGCTGAACTTGCTTTTACTTTCTCTTATAACTTCTACTAATTACTATCTTTGATTTGAGCAGAGGTAAAACTTGAATTCCACAGACTGAATGACATAAATAGAGCAGAGGTATTAGATCTTGGTTTTATAATTAACAAATCAATCTGTGAGCCAAGTAAAACAGGTCAAAGCTGCCAACAAACAGAAAAAAAAACCCACTATGTGTAGGAAGGCATTGTGGCAAAAAACTACAATTCACAGCAAGGCATGTGGCAAAAAGCAACATGCAAGGTGATCAAAGTTTACTGTGGCTTTGATGCCACTGTATTAACTGACATATGTGAAATGTAAACAACACAGACCTGGAAAATATTGATTTATACTGGACAACTGCCTATTCAGCATTTAGTTAATTAGACATCAGTTGCAAAGTAGAATTAACACATAACATTAAAAGTGGGTCTTCCACTCCCCCACCCCATCTACTGTCAAACTGGAACATTGGCATATCATGAGTTAATTTTCCAAGTACTAAATCTAATGTCATTATCTGAGGCTTCTCTTAAAATAACATATGCACTTATAAATAGAATCCACAATATGGATTCCAGAGAGTAATTTAAGCATGAAATCTTGTGTTAGAGCTGACAATCATGTGTTCATTTGCTTACAGAGGGTTTATATAGAGCTTACCCACTGGTTGCACAAATTATGCAAAATGTTTTTGCTATAATCAATCATGTTATTGTATTATCCTTTATTGTACTCTAACTCACATGAGGTCTCTTCCATTCAAATTCCCTTGGAGGAGCCTGACTATAGAATATAGAGCTATCCTCTGCCGGAAATTCTGGGTCCTCAAATAAAACCTCGTCAGCTAAACATTGTTCTTTGACCTCGTCGTAATGCTGTTTTCTGATGCCTGCAATCAGATCTTTTTCCTCGCGTCGTGAATGCCTACCTCCAATTGCACGGTGACATGCATATGTACTGCTACAGTAGCTGTAGTACTCACACATTCTCTATAATCTCAAATCATCCAACACACACTCAATCCACTCCTCTATTATTAAGGTCCACAATGGTGACTCTCTTAAAGTTCTCTTTTAGAGTTCATTAATATTTTGGTAGGCAAGTCGAAGCTTGTTGAAAGAATGTCGATGATTATGAAATATTTATCTTGGTTTTTGGAATGTTATCATGCCTATCTATGGCTCGATTAAACACACAGACAAGGTAAACATGGCACATACCCAATCTACATACCCGGACATACAGTGCTTTTTATGAATGTTAAGGAATTACTAGATTCACCATTAAGTTTCAGGTATACTATATATGTAACTTTTTCTTGTCTGTAAAGTCTTTGGGAAAATATTATTCTTTGTCAGACAGTAACTTCACCTAAAAATGTATTTAGCTAATTTAAATCTCAAAGAATGCTGAGCCTTGATTAAAAGGCCTACAGGTCTCCACAATTTACTAAGTCCTATCTGCTATAATGAATAGGTTTATATGGCCTAATTTTCAACTGAAAGGAAAAGTGCAAAGAGGAATTTGTCATTTTTCTACATGGATGACCAACTCTCACCTGTTATTGACATTATCAATGTTTGTGACAAAAATAAGTTTGTTTGATAAGTCTTCTGGGAGACCTCAGCACAAAATCAGTGTTGTATCTACTGTAATAAAATAATCATGTGAATTCTGTAGTCTATTTGTAGACAACATTGTAAGCACTTAAGACAAAACATTACAGAACTCCTCTTCCTTTTCTACTGTTCCTATACACATGGCTGACAACATGCATGATGTATCAGAAGTTTTTATGAAGTCTTTCAATTGCATTCCATTCTTGGCTGACAGAAAACAGACAGCCTTTTATTTCTTACACAAAGCCTCAGGCATGTGTTACAATTTTAATTGAATAATACAAAGCCTGATTTACTTTTTGTCTGATTATCTATAAGTATCAGGGATTTATATCTTAATTGTGACATCTCATTTCTTTCCCAATGTGTACAAAATGTTATATGGTTTGACTATCAGTGTTCATTAGGCAATTTTACGGAGTTTGCCAACATCAAAAGACTACAGGTAATAAAAAATCTTATGCATTCAGGTAAAAGCCCCACTTGAAGTCAGAAGCACTTTGCCTTTTTGTTAATAAAAAAATCCTTTTAAAAACATACATGCAACCTGATACTTTAGTTCTTGACTCATTTCAATATTCATCTTTCCTATACATATGTGAATTACCCCATCAATAAGCATCAAACTGTACAGACTATAGAGTATCATATAAGAGTTTGTAACAATTCCTGTAATCATTCTCTCTTTCTCTGTATTGTCTTTGACAGATGTTTTCAATCCAAACTGCATTATAAGTGGGGAAATGATGATCATAATAAGTGCCTTGTACTCCATTATGATGTTGTGTCAATGTCTAGGATTAAAGAATATGCAGATAGGAGCTCTGTGGACTGTGTATTGACACAATGTTTATAAGTGTAATGTCGTACCAATTGGCTGCTAGGACAAGAAATGCCTGTCTTTCCTGTTTATGGTAGATGAACAGACAAGGAAAGAAATCACCCAGATGTGTTTATATTTTATACATGTAACTTTAACATATGACACTGTATGCTGCATCATGAGGGTGGGACATAGTTAACATGAAAGTTTATCCTTTTCTAACTCTGATAATAGATAACGGTTTGTTCAGTGATTTGTGGGTTGGGTCAGATTAGAGTAGGATTAAGGATTTTCACATTTAAGTTATTCTTCTCTGCCAATGCTCTAATCAATTAAATGATTCTTCAGACGGATAACTAATGGGTCCACAAATATAAAGTGCATTTATAAGTAACATGTAAAATATACATGATAATGATAATGACATTGAATACCTACAAAATCCTCACCTTAATTCGTAAAACTTACATGTGGTCTTTTCCATTCAAATGGACGGGGAGGTGCCCTGCTGAAAAAGATGGATGAATCTTCAGCTTCAAATTCAGGATCCTCAAACAAGCATCCCTCTTCCAAGCATTTCTTTTTGATTACATCATAACTCTGGTTAATGACTCCAGAAAATGGATCTTTCTTCTCCTTTCTCGTGGACCTCCCAATCACCTGGGGTCTCTGGGAGAACGCTGGGACACTAAAGCTTGGTTGGTCAGTTCCGTCTTCCCTAGCTCCCCCAATGCGAATCTGAAAGCGTCCACCCCCGCCCCCGAAATTAACACCTCCATTAACCGATGATCCGCCACTGTCATCCCCGTAGGTGTACGTCTTGGTCTGAACCTTGGGCGGGCCACGCCCATCAGAGTAGAATGTGCGAACAGTTCGGGTCGTTCTAGTGGTATACATCTCGCCGCTAATCCTCTCTTCTGCCGCAGAAAGTTTTACACGTCGGGACTACACCTATAGCATGAAAAGTTAATTGCAATCAACACCTGATTAACAGTGTGAGCTGTTGCAATCAGTAGATAAAGACACAAAACAAACCAGATTAACACACACCGTCTGTTTACCTTCTCTGAGCATCTACTTTCCCCGTTCGCGATGATCGTTTCGGATGGCTTCCGGAATGGACGATTCTATTTCTTGGACGAGGGGTCAAAGGTTCTGTCTTGAAGGATGCACGAACAAAGACGAGTTATCTTCCTTTCAGCTGTTTAGTGGGTACCGAGTTTTCGAAATTAAAATTCCTAATATGGAATAGTCTCCAAAAAAAAAAAAAAGAAAAAAAAAAAAAAAGAAAAAATCACGAAACGCTTCATATGCTTATTGTCCGATATATTAAAGCTATAATTTTTACTTAATTTAAAACAATATGAGCTGCAACTTCGATGTCGGAAATTGTAATTAACTATTTCAATATAGAGGTTTCGGAAACCAACATGTTTATGACAGAAAAAAAAGTTTCTGTATACAATTTCTTTATAATTTATGGATTTATTATTTATGTCATTTCTTTTCAAAATCAGTCAATATATAATGTGCCGGGAATAACTACCAATCTTGTCCATGGAATATAATGTTCATAGGATTTTGTCACCTAAAAACAGAAGCTTAAATTTTAAAAAGTTGCAAGTTTGTATACAGGCCTTATATTCAAATATACACACATGATTTTTTTTTTTATTTTCAAAATAATTTCAAAAGTAATTAATGCTAATTCGAACTCTTCTCAGTTTGTGGTTGTTGTGTCTGTGCTATCTTTAATGAAGAACAAACGGGGACATTACAGCCATGATGACTACATAACCCAGAACTTTTTCTTATTAATGTGTTTATGAACGAGTTTATGAACTTACCCAAACTACCAGCTATGAAGTGTAGCACATCTAGAAAGGCGTAGGCGTAAAGAGAATTATACAAGCTTGCTTAGGGACTGACAAACTTTCATTTATTAGAACATGAAAGTAATTTTGAATGCGAGCTAAAACAGCTGCGAGATGAAAGCCCTAATCCCAATCCCTGCTGATGCTTCACATTTTATCCCCAATAACTCCATCTAGATGTGTACTCTTGTGTAATTATGTACAGTGTGATTACGTCAAACTCGATGTATGCACAATCATGCTAGTTTTGCTGCAATATAGATGTATTTTACAGCAATTCGGTAATAACTGTATGATTTATGGATTTTAATTCTCTGGTAAGTTGATTGACACTTCTCTGTTTGTCATTAGACTCATTAATTCTTAATTGTAGGACGATTACAAAGCATTAATAACAATATGATAAATTTTACTGGAAAATGACAAAAGAATAATAACGAATTAATCCACTCATAAATCGAAAACTGAATTTTTTTCTGAAGCTTATTTCACTATAATTCTCCAATGTGACATGATAGTATATACATTTCAAAGAACAAAAACAAAATCTAAGTAATTTATGAATAAACTTATTTATATTGCATCAATGAGCTGGTGCCAAATAAGTTGATGGTAAGTTAAAAATACTTTGCGGACATTTTACAGTATTTTGCTTTACCAACATGTACACATTTTCATTATTCATTGATTCTCCGAAACTTACTGTATATGATTTGTTGTTTTACATAAAGTTAAGTGTCTAATAATTTGGAGAAACAGGTAGCGATATTAATGATAGAAGGAGGCTATAAACACTGCATATTATTGTTATAGTAATTTTATGCAGTCAGAGTGAAAGATAGAATCAACGGGTAAATGAGACAATTAGATTTAAATATTGGTAACATTATATTAGGCTAAGGTAAAATAAGGAAAGGAGTTATAGTCATATGTATCTAATTTTCTTTAAAAAAAAAAAGCTTCCTTTTTTTCCTTCAGCTATGACGATAAGTGTCTTAGAAGTTATTCCCCTGTGTAAAGAACACGAGTTGCCTCTCTTGCACCCATATCCATACTAGTACACATGTGATCAATGAATGTTTGGACCATAAAACCACGTTATTCACAGCTAATTGAATAGTTAAAGTGAGCACAAAAAGATTCTTTCATGTACTTCTGTTATACTCATAATATGGAAGCTATGTGTATTTTATTTTCTTAATTTTATATTATTGCTTGGCCGTCTTTGGATCATCGTCGCAAACCACGGCCAAAATGTACGATCCTCTTCAATTCTGGAGAGAGCTATATGCGAACCGTGGCTTGAGACGATGTCTTTGGATCAGACACATAAAGAACATGGCATACTTTATTGATATACTTTTAAATAAACCTTTGCCATTTTTTACTACCAACATACATGTATGCGTGATTATTCTTAAACCTATCATAATTTACTTGCAATATCGTAGTGGTGCATGTCAGGAACGTAGCATCGTTTTTGAAAAGTGGGGGGGGGGGGGCAGCCAGAGAAAAAAATTCAACTTACCTGAAAAAAACTTGACAAGCAAAAAAAAAGGGGGGGATTGTCCAAACTCGAAAATCCTGTTTCGTTGGGGGGGGGGGAGTGTTAGGTTCCAACTTCTTTCAATACCAAATTTTATTCATACACTACTACACAACCCTTATTTGACTATACTACAACAAAAAGGGGGGGGCTTTCAATTAGCATTTCAAATAGTAAAAAAAGTGGGGGGCCAGCCCCCCTGCCCCCCCCCCCCCCGGTGCCACATACCTGCATGTATATAAGATTGTGTGTTTAAATTCTTCTTGCAATATTTTGGCATACAAACAAACATTTCATTTTATTAAAACATTAATATGCATTTAAAAATTCATTATAATGAATTTTTGATATCAGTAGAGAAGTCAACAGTCCAAATATCAAAACTGGGTCAAATCCTGATATATGAAAAGATTAAGTACTGTATAGGAATCTATTTATCTATTGTTTGCAATCGACGATGAATATGTACAATGCTATCTACTGTATCATTAATTGATATGTAAAAAAAAAAGCTAAATGCAAATAGGGTTCCTCCCACTGTGGACACGCCCCTTTTCGGTCTACACTCAGACGGGTCTCCGATGAGTCAATAATTAGAGTCAGACCCCCTGACGACAATTGACTCATCCCCCAGTCAGACCACGGCTGTTACCGACTCTTTACGACGTGAGAATCAACTAACAAAATTAAATGAATCATCCCATGGGTCAATAGGATTAATTAGAGATTTTCTGAAGGAAATTGAAATAATTAAATTCATAATTCAAGTTCTATACTTCAAAAATTATGTAAGGACTGGATGTCAAAGTAAATCTTACCATGAAATTTGAAAATTCTAGACTTGCTTGACTAGCACAATATTGTAATGACCTTCTCTTAATTTTTCTGGTAATTATTTGGTGATGATTTGTGCAGGAACTTAATCCGACATAAAATAAAATCCATATTGACTGCGAAATACAGTGCTTGATTAAAAAGTGAACCCCCCCCCCCCCCAAAAGTTAACTATCAAAATTGCAAGTCGTTTACTAAATATGACTTTTATTTTTATTATAAACACAGTGTAATGTAAAATCTTATTGAATCATCATGAACGGGTTGGGCCTTGGTATGGCTTTATTTTGAGAACTATGAACAATTGAACAATGTGTTAAATGGAGGCTGAATCCCACACTCCCTAATTCAATTCCACAGCTACTCTATTAGTTGTATTTATTTCAGCAGGTCATATGTACTCTTCACCAATACGTCTCTAGATACTCTAGCCACTAGTGCTTTCATTTGAACTTTTTTCTCAGTACACATAGTCTTACTTTCTCCAGTTTTATAGCATGATATAAGCATATTGAAAAGGACGGAAAGAAATAAAGTTAGTTTTTTGCAAACTTTAAACCACGCCCCTTTCTGCGGGAGTCTCTTTGTGCTACAAAGCTAAGATTCAAAAGATTACAAGCATGTTTATTTAATCAGGTTGGTAAGAAACTTGGAATATTTAAGAATGGTGAGAGAGAATTCTGCCCACTCTCAACCTCATTTCTTGATATAATGCTCTCATAAAAATGGTTGTACTAGCATGCATTTACCGAAACGAACGTCACAAAAAAATTCAATATGGTAGACCTACCGCAGTAACAATAATCAATAATGCGACCTATCACACTAAAGTATTGTGATCTACTGCTGGAAAAAAGTTTTACAACTGTTTAAAGATCATTTGAGAGAGAGAGAGAGAGAGAGAGAGAGAGAGAGAGAGAGAGAAGTGGGGTTTTACACGAATGACTAAGCTGTGTTTGGGAAGACATTTATGAATCATCTTAAAATTGTCCCGTCTTTGACTTGAATTTGGAACATTTCACATAAACCGGTATATATGGACAGAGGACACACTAACATTTTTGCTGTATACCATATCACATTGATTACGATATAAAACTTTCAGAAGAAAAAGTATCGAGGTTATTAATTTGTCTATATATACATGTACACGTATCTTTAAAGAACGACCGAGGAGAACAAACTCGGAAATGAACCAATGATCTCAAATATGATTTCACTTTTCAAAGAGCATATATTGAACAAAATAAGTTGTCACAAATAAAGGCTTTGTAATGACGAGGAGTTAAGGCAAGCCACCATTATAACCAAATTTTAAGTACTTAAAAAACTTGTCTTTATTTAACTGTTTGAAGGAATGTAAAAAGTACTTTTCAATTCCAATATCACAACTCAAATTCAAATGATTCAAACTGATGATTCAAAGCCAAAGTACAAAAACTTGAAAGAAAAGTCTGAATTAGATAATTTATTAACCCATGCAAACATTTCGGATGCTTATTATCGTAAAGAGCATAAATTTTCAATTAAAGTCAACACAACTTTGAACTGTATTTTGGTGGTCTTTTTCTTTGATAAAACAAAGTGACTTTTGCTAAAAAATCAATTTGTTTTATTTATTCTCCTAAATCAAACATTAGTACACCAAGTACACACTAAAATAAAACAAACGTATCAAATGACAGAGCATGAAGATGGTATACAGTGTAATACAAATTAATTTTTAAAAACTCATGCACATTCAGATATGGTAAAAAGAATACACAGATAAAAATCTGACTGAGTCTTTAATTCATGCTAAGCTGATGAAGTGCTGTAAAACTTGACTCTTATTTAATAATTACTTTTTCATTTATTGACATGACTCTTTATAATCTGTGATAACATAAACCAGAGTATAGTTGTACAGTCATATTGGTGTCAGGTGGACTGTTCGACAAATATTCAATTCTCTAGTATTCCGCAGCAAAATACAAAGGCATGCTTTATCTATTTTTACTATACTCACATATATAAGTTAGAATAAGTTTTCAATGGCCTTTGTCATCATCATTGTTGAAGGGAAGTCCAATTCCTTACTTTTCAGAAGAGAATAGCTAGAATAAAGTATAACATAATGTACTAATCTCTGGCGGGATATGTTCTTGGATTTTGATTGGCTAAAAATTAATATGTTTCTAAAATTACATTAGAAAAATATCGTAATGTGCTTATGGAAAATAAAATGTAATCAAACTTGATTTATTCACTGCAATATATCTAAACATTGGAATTGAATTTTTAAACCCACTAATTTTTGAATTTTGCTATCTGCCCGAGATTAGTACATACCCCTTCATGGTGGGAGACGAATTTTCCAGTTGGTGAGCAGAGTTTGACGCTGTTTACAGATATAAAGAAAATAAAGACAAGCATGTCATATATGGTTGTGTAGATAAATTATCGAACACGAGAATGACAGTAAGCAGTTTGCCAGTGCATTTTTCCTGAAAGTGTAAATGATTGTGGGGAGGGGGACACTTTATGTAATTCCGAGTTAGATACCTTGTGTTATTATTATACTTATGGGTTAAAAAATCAATTGTGCCTGTGTCATCGACCTCTCAAAAGAAAACAGAATACTGTATACAATATAACATAAGTAATGTTATCAATAAGTAAAATTACAGTTCAAAGAATTGTAACCCCCCGCTTTCGATGTCTTAGTAGTCGGGATGCAGTTATTCATGGCATATTATTGTGTCCTTCAAACTTCTAGGTCAAGGTCATCAATAGGGCTGTGTATTGAGCAAAAAATCTCGATATGATACGATATTTTAAAAAGCGATATGCGATATATTGGATTCTTCAACAAGTCTATCAAAAAGTCATGTTAATCATTTAATGCATAAATTTTATAAAAACAGACTGTTATAATCCATTTCGAAGTTTGTCTCA